AAACACAATGGACGAGGTGGCCGAATTTCATGTGCCATTATTGATGTAGGTTTTAGTCAAGTTAAAATTTAGAGCTGTATGAAGCTGCGGTATGAACTCCCCCTTTTCTATTTTTTTTGTCTCTTTTGGATGTGGTTTATTCGCTTTTTATTTTTATTAGATAGATTTTTCAACTGAAGCAAGAAAGTGGGACGACCATAGGCAAGAGAAGATAAATTCATGAGCTGTATGAACTCTACTTATTTGTTTTTGATGATGTGGTTTTCTTGCATTTTATTGTTATAGATTTCTTTCTCTAATTTGACACAAGAAAGTGGGTCTTACCGTGCGAGGATAAAGACGTTCTCTCCTCTCGCTACTCGCTTTCCTACCAATCTGACTGATTTTTTTGCTTGATTAAATGAAATTCCGAAACATATCACCATTTACTATGTATCTTTTTGCTTTTTGCTAGATATAAATTTTATAGAGGTGGTGTATGCTTGTAGAATCTGATTCAGACCTCAAACGATAGTTGTGTTCACATTTGCATGATAACCCCCTTCAGCAACTGGGCCACAGGGATTTGAAACCGCCCTTCCTTCAGTGTTGTTTGGTTTGCGGATGTAAAACAGATAAAATTGACATTTTAACGTTGGGTTTGGTAAGAACAAAAAAATTAACAAAATTTTGGTTTTTGGTTGGTTTTTGTCTTGAATGAATTTTCTTTTTTAAATTTCAATAAACTTTTTCACTTGTAGGTTTTGTTAGACTTTGAAGAAAAAAAAAAAGAAAAACTAGATATTTTTTTACTAATTTCAAAATACTTTTATTGAATTAAAAATTTATTTTAACTTTTTCACTATTTTTTGAAGCATTTTTTTACACAAATTTAATATTAAACAATGCTTTTGTTGGCATTTGTCATTTAAATGATGTAAAATTTAATATAAAAAATTAAATGATGTAAAATAGATGTAAAATACATAAAAATTTATGAAATTATGTAAAATATATATTAAAATTTTAATTTTAATTTTTTTGATATTATTTGAACATTAACCAACGCTCATCGAGTGGTAGTTAGTAGGATCTATTTTTAAAATTAAAAAATTCATTAATTTAATTTATGATTGCAAAAATTCTAAAATTTAAGTTTCCAAATTCTAATACGTATGAGGAAATATAGAATATATATGAATAGCCAATAATTTACAAAATTTATTAATGGGACTAATTTTTAAAAAATCTTCTTTATTCATATTTAAAAGTTTACTTCAATTTCTTGTGCTTCATTTGTTGATTTTCTTTTTTTCTTCCAAACACAATGTAAATCAAGTCAATTACTGGTTTTTCAAGGCACTTAATATACTCCACATTTGTAATGTTTAAAAACTTTTAAAAAGTTATTTTAATTTGATCACAATAATATAATATGATGTGTCAAATTTTTATTTACCACACCACATTATTATGAGTAAATTTATAAATTTAAAATTATAAATCTATAACATTTCTCAAGAACTGATAAACTTAAAAGCTCAAATGCATTTATAGAATTATTACAAGACCTAGATGCTGGTCCCCCTAAAACAAATTGATATGAATTTGGAACATTGACCCTTTCTTTCACCCAATTTTGCCTCATAATTTTTATGCTAATTTTGTCACATTGTAATAAGAGTGAGGTAAAATTAGTTATTGAAAATTTCATAAAATAATTGGATCGATATAAATTAAAGAAGAGATCAAATTAGGATCTTTTCTTTAAAAAGTCATTTTTTCTTGTGAATTCAAAGTTTTCTTTTTATATATTCAAAATTCTTCATGTACTAAAATGCCATCTTATTTCGTGTAATATTTTTACTGCATCAAATAAAGTATCGAACAGAGAATAAGATAAAAATTGAGATTAGAGACTAAGACCAAGTATAGGGATTAGAGGTGGGTTTAAGCATTTTTCTATAGCATATACCTTTAAAAAAACAGTACATCTAATTTATTGGTGGGGTATGAGAATGATAAATTAGGTACAAATTTAACATTTGGCATTATTTACACAATGTAATTGTTTTCAATTTCCAATCCACAATCTCAAATTTAAAGGAGCATTTCTTTTACGTCAGATGTTCAGTCTGGCTTACTATAAGTTTATTGAAAGTCCACTTCAATGATTTTTTTTTTTTTTTTTAAATAGTCGCTTCAATGATTCAAATCAATCATTTTGTAAAGTTTGTCGAATATATTATTCATATCGAAAATCAAATTAATCAAATATAAGTAATTATTTGATGTGATTTGATCAAATAATTATATCAATCAACTCAAATTTTTATATGAATAATATGTTCAAAAGATCTCACAAAATAAATATTTTGAATTATTAAAATAGATCTAAAATAAATCCATAAGAAGCCGGATTGAGGAGGAGCAACTTCTAAAAATTGAGAGATAGACGTTTAATTTCAAAATTTCATTATAACATGAAACACCTAATCATAACCTCATTAATACCTGGGTCACATGGCCAGACCCTCCCTCTCTTTTTTTTTTCTTTTTTTTTTTTTAAGAAAATAGGAAATATTATATTAATAAGACAACAACAGTATGCAATGACAAATCATATTTTATATAATACCTGTGTGTTTTTATATAATAATGGCAAATTATATTTTTGAAGAAAAGTTAATTACATTTATAACAAAAATAAAAATGGTAACAATGACCTTTAGCAATAAATGAGAAGCACATAATGCCGTAAGAATAATGCTATGTATGTATCAATTAATTTAAGATGTTTTAGATATTTATAATTTGTGTAATAAGTGGAGTCAGTAATAATGACATAACACTAGTTGGTACACTAATGTTTACATTAATTAATGCATGTAGCACCATCACAACCATAATTGTGGAACAATCAATACCACCATGCACCTAGTTGATGGAACAATACCACCACCACCGATCAAGCAGGAACACAACCATTAATTTTTGGATAAAAGCCAGTACTATTTTTCAATACGCATTTAATACATTTTTTACATATATTTTAACACTAACAACAATTCTAAAGACTAATTTGGGATTATCAGTAAGAAGTATAGAAAATATTTATAATTTTAATAAACATTTCATATATTTTTGCATATTTTTATACTTTCTGATACATTTTTTACACATAATTTAACACTAATAACAACTCTAAAGACTAATTTAAACATTTTCCTTATTATTATGATAATTTAACACTAATAACAACTCTAAAGACTAATTTAAACATTTTCCTTATTATTATATAGCAATACTTACTTGGTATTATACTCGCTGGGTCTCGCTTCATTCAAGTTGGGGTGAAGACTTGACCCATCTAGTACTCGTTCAATTTACTATAGTTCTTTTAGTTTGATAATTTGAACTATTCATTTTTAGGCCACTATACATAGATTATTCATGAAGAAAAAAAAAATATAGATTCATCAATAATTGTAATTGTATGATTTCATATATTTGTTCTAAAAAATGGACAAGTATGATTTCAAAAATTAACCTTCCAATTTTTTCAAAATAAATATGATAAAACCATGTAATTAATTACTATAAACGAATTGATTTAATTTTTTTCATAAATAATTTACACAAATTTCAATAAAGAACGAAATTAAATTTCAAAATAAAAATATGTATCAGATCTACAAGAGCATGGCTCCTCCTAGAGACAAGCTTTTCTCATATTTCATCACTTGCTTGGTGTTATTTCCCTTTATTTCACCTTATCATTCCATTGCTGATAATAAAGAGACTGATTAGAACAAATCTAAGGAAGGATCATTCCACTATCCGCTCTCCCAGTTATAACCAAACACTACTTTAAACATAACCAAAGATTTTTACGGTCGTGACCAAAATAACAATCATAATAGGTCATAACTACTATCATATTGAGTCATAACCAAAAATCATGACCAAACACCATTTAAGGCAGACCAAAGACCTCTTCATAACCAAAATAACCACCACAAGAGATCATAACTAACACATCAAGCATCTAGTACACCCCTTTTTAAGCTGTGTATTATAGAATTTCCCCATCTTTCAAATATTTCACTCCGATAGCTTGTCATAGTTCACGTTAAATTTTACAACACTCTTAGTTCTCTCTTTCTTCTTCTACCTTTCTTTCATAATCAAGTCCACAAATAGCATCTCTATTTAGCATTGTATGAGAAAAATAAAAGATATGCATCAACATCATTGGAACAAAATGGCCCATTTATAAAATTCCAAATACTATAGCATGTCAAAGTATAAGTTTAACATCATCAAAAAGATAAATTACACCAACACCTCCTGAGATTTACTTTTAATACTTGGGGGTTTTACACTGGGTGATGGATATGGAGTTTTAGGGGAGGTTTGCAGTAGGAGATTTACATTGGGTGACTTGGGGGTGGTTTTGCACTAGGTGATTTGGGTTGTTTTACACTGGGTGTTTGATTGATTACTTCAAAGAAATAATTTTTCATGAATGCAGTCTTATGCAAATTACATGCTTGACTAATTGCTCAAAAAACTACTTTTTGCTAAACAAAAAAGTTTTCTTTGATTTTGTGACATGGTTGAGTTGTGGCGGTGATGAGTTGGTAGGTGCTAGAAAGGAGAAGGTGCATTGATGTGTAATGGGGGGAGGTGGAGGGACCAACGAGTGATGGTTGTTGTTTGTATTAAGTGAGAAAGGAAATACAGTGAAAGGAGGGAGAGAATGTGAGGGTAAATTTGGTATTTAAAAAAAGTAATCCACTTACATTAGCGAAAATTGGTAGTTGACTGTTAAGTTAACTAATGGTGAGTGGGGACAATTGATAATGCAACTTTAAACCTCAGGATGGGGGCTTTTGGCTGGGCTTGACCTCAGCACCATTGAATCATCAGAAGGAAACTAAAAACAGTACAATGAAGAAAGCTAGTGATATTCAACAAACAGAGACAAATGTGAAGATCAAATGAAAGATGCAAAAACAAACATTTAAACATGACATTGAATTTGCAAACCAAAGCAGCTTTAATCACATTAGTAATAAGCCCATAAGTTGTGTACTAGAGTGCAATATTAAACTTTTTCACATCTTTTCTACATGTACTTGTAAACCAACAAAAGAAAACCTCACCACAATGTGTCTTTGTGAAGATCTAGTTAAACCACACGGCAATGGAAGATGCGATGACAAGGAGCATCAGAAATGTTTCTCCATGAAAATCCAATAAAAATGTCCTGAAATTCCATAAGCAGCCATGATTTTCGGTCCACAACACCCTGAGTGAAAAGCTTTATCAATCGAATGAATGCAAATGAGCAATAATACAGCCTGACAAACTTGTAAACAATGTAGCCAGTTTAAAGAAACTTCATTATAAAACAAGTAAAACAATGGTTTCAGTCTAAAAAAACTTCTATTACCTAACAAGGCCCTCTTTTATTTCCTAGAGTTGTTACATATCCTTCATGTTTCCATCTATTTATATTAGTTTTTCTCATAACACCATATATTTCTTCTAAATATAATGATAGAATACAAACAAATCACCCACATATAATTTAGAACCTTCAACCCACCAAAAATATAATTTAGAATCTTCCACATCTATATAGGTGCCAGAGTCACGAAAAGGGAATTCAAACACAAGACGACAATGCACAAATTGCTAACTACAGATAAACATACGAGTAAATTAACTGAATCGACAACTTGTTTATCCAATGCCCTGCATAAAAGGGGGCCTCATTTTTTTTTATATACAATGTATATATCAGATAAAAATAAAAACAATGTTATAAAGGAAATTGGAAAAAGCAAAAATAGGTAAAAATGATCTCCCTTTAAATTGTATTTCATACATATCAAAACAAACTACCCTATCATTATTATATCTCTCAATAGTTATCATTATACTTTGCCCTTTCTCTGCATCATAACAAAGAAAATGGCAAAAGAAAAAGTAAATACTCGTATAGTTAAAGGTTAAACATGAAGAAAAAAACAAACTCTCTGTCATTATACAAATGAAAGGCCTTCATCACTATACATTTCTCTTGGTGAAAACAAAAACCCTCATCATTATATCTCTCTATGGGTCAAAATAGCAAATCCAGATCGACAAGATGAAAACTCAGCCGCATAACCAACCACAAAAGCTTTTGCAACACATGACTATGTGGTTGGTTTTATGGTTGATTCTATATTGCATTAGCAACGGTCAATTGTAAAATATAAATTGTACTTCACCCTATGAATTATGTTAACAAAATTTGAATATAACTAGGATTTTATTTTCAAAAAATTTCCAAAGAATTTAAGATCTTATTCGAAGAAATCAATCAAACAGTTACTTTATAGTCAAATGTCGTCTAAGGAAATTTAAAATTTAATTTCAAAGTGAAAGACTCGGTCATGACCTCCTCATCTAACACTTTTCCATAAAATCAAATTCCCTCTAAAGTAAAAAACCTAAAGATTTCTGTCTGATCAAAAACTTTTCATAATTTCAAAAATACTACTCGGGTTTTCTTTCAAAATTCTTTCCTCCCAACGAGCTTTGGATTTTATTCCAAGTATCCAATCAAACAATTGTCTCCTTAGTCAATTATCTTTTGGGGGGATTTCGAATTTTATTCAAAATTGAAGATTTGGTCACCACTTCCTTATCTGCCACTTTTCATAAAAGTTGAAATTCCCCCTAAAGTCAATAACTTAAAGACTCTTATTCCATCAAACACCTTCCACAGCCTCTAAGGCTCTACTTAAGTTGGAACGTTTCTCTTTTTTAGAAGTTACTCTTTAATCACATGTTTCATTGCGGATTGAAATTTTAAAAAGGCAAAAATTCTTTCTTTTTTTCTTTTTTCTTTTTTGATCACTAAGGTAACAACCCAAATTCAAACTCAAATTCTTCACAATTGGGAAACAACCCCCCCTAATTTACTACTGATTACTCAAATCATTATCAAAATATGAGTTCACAGCCTAGATTGAACGCCCAAATCTTTGTAATTGGATCATTGCCCCAAATAACTAGGATTGCAACAGAATCAAATCACTGCAATATCAGACTCCCCAGACTTTGGGAATGAAATCACAATCTTTCTAATTGTTGATCTCTGGAATCAAATCAGTTTCAAAATATCACATAAGCACATAATTTGCATTTATGCCTATTGAGGGGTAGGGTTGCCCTGTCCTAATTTAGAAATGAGATATACGATTCACTAGATCATTCAAAGAGGCAATAATACAATCCTAGAAAGGATAGCATCCTGTCCTAGTTTGGAAGGTGCTAATGCTCTCTATATGCAAAAGGTAAGTTATGTCACAAAAAGGTACATCAGTTATTACTATCAATACAACACTCCTTCCACAAAGGAATGATCAAACAATACGAGTAGCATAATCTGATGCTTGCCTTGTTGAAATAACATAACCCACGAATAGCGTCCGGAATATTATGCAACAAACATGAGGATACGTGAATGGACCCAATCAATTTTGTTTAACACTTGCCATCGGATCTCGAAGTCATCCGCATCACCGATTGGGTGATAGCTGCCCAAGCAAGGCAATTTTGAGGAATTTTAATGATTCCTACCAGAGTGATCAATCTAAACAATTGCCTTTCCATTATATATTGTTTCTCGAAATGTGCCCCCATTTATTTTCAAAAGTGTGTGAGCAAATTTCAACTTCAAATTTTTTTTTTTTTTAAAATCTTTTTTAAAAATAAAGTGCCCTTTTTCATTTAAATTTTCAAAGTTTTCATTTCCTCTTTTTCTTCAGATGTTTTGAGGAGTTCGGATTTTATTCCGAGGAATCAATCAAGCAATCATCCTTTAGTCGAATATCTTACAGAGGAACCAAAATTTTATTCAAAATCAGAGATTTGGTCATCACTTCCTTGTCTAACATTTCTCCATAAAATTAAGGTTCCCTCAAAGTCAGTGGCCCAAGGATTTTTACTCAATGAAAAGAACTATCCATAATTTTCGAACTCTACTCAAATTTTATTTTCAAAAAATTTTCAAGGAATTTAAGATCTTATTCGAAGAAATCAATCAAACAGTTACTTTATAGTCAAATGTCGTCTAAGGAAATTTAAAATTTAATTTCAAAGTGAAAGACTCGGTCATGACCTCCTCATCTAACACTTTTCCATAAAATCAAATTCCCTCTAAAGTAAAAAACCTAAAGATTTCCGTCTGATCAAAAACTTTTCATAATTTCTAAAATCTTACTCGGGTTTTCTTTCAAAATTCTTTCCTCCCAAGGAGCTTTGGATTTTATTCCAAGTATCCAATCAAACAATTGTCTCCTTAGTCAATTATCTTTTGGGGGGGATTTCGAATTTTATTCAAAATGGAAGATTTGATCACCACTTCCTTATCTACCACTTTTCATAAAAGTTAAAATTCCCCCTAAACAAAGTCAATGACTTAAAAGACTCTTATTCAATCAAACACCTCCCACAACCTCCAAGGTTCTACATAAGTTGGAAACTTTCTGTTTTTTAGAAGTTACTCTTTAATCACATGTTTTATTGCGGATTTAAATTTTAAAAAGGCAAAAATTCTTTCTTTCTTTCTTTCTTTTTTATTTTTTGATCACTAAGGTAACAACTCAAATTCTTCAGTATTGGGAAACAAACCCCCTAATTTACTACTGATTACACAAATCATTATCAAAATATGAATTCACTGCCTAGATTGAACCCCCAAATCTTTGTAATTGGATCATTGCCCCCAAAGAACTAGGATTGCAACAGAATCAAATCACTGCAATATCAGACTCCCCAGACTTTGGGAATGAAATCACAAGCTTTCTAATTGTTGATCTCTGGAATCAAATCAGTTTCAAAATATCACATAAGCACATAATTTGCATTCATTCCTATTTGGGGGCAAGGTTGCCCTGTCCTAATTGAGAAATGAGATCTACGATTCACTAGATCATTCAAAGAGGCAATAATACAATCCTAGAAAGGACGACATCCTACCCTAGTTTGGAAGGTGCTAATGCTCTCTATACGCAAAAAGTAAGTTATGTCACAAAAAGGTACATCAGCTATTACTATCAATATAACACTCCTTCCACAAGGGAATGATCAAACAGTACTAGTAGCATAATCTGATGCTTGCCTTGTTGACATAACATAACCCACGAATAGTGTCCGGGATATTATGCAACAACAAACATAAGGATAGGGGAATGGACCCAGTCAATTTTGTTTTACACTTACAGTCGGATCTCAAAGTCGTCCTCATTACCCATTGGGTGATAGCTGCCCAACCAAGGCAATTTTGAGGAATTTTAATGATTCCTACCACAGTGATTAATCTAAACAATTGCCTTTCCATTATTTATTGTTTCCGGAAAGTGCACCAATTTATTTTCAAAGTGCGTGATCAAATTTCAACTTCAATTTTTTTTTGTAAGTCGTTTTTCAAAATAAAGTGCCCTTTTTTATTTAAATTTTCAAAGTTTTCATTTCCTCTTTTTCTTCAAATGTTTTGAGGAGTTCAGATTTTATTCCAAGGAATCAATCAAACAATCATCCTTTAGCCGAATATCTTACGGAGGAACCAAAATTTTATTCAAAATCAGAGACTTGGCCATCACTTCCTTGTCTAACATTTCTCCATAAAATTAAGGTTCCCTCAAAGTTAGTGGCCCAAGGACTTTTACTCGATGAAAAGAACTTTCTATAATTTCCGAACTCTGATCAAATTTTATTTTCAAAAAATTTCCAAGGAATTTAAGATCTTATTCGAAGAAATCAATCAAACAGTTACCTTGTAGTCAAATGTCTTCTAAGGAAATTCAAAATTTCATTTCAAAGTGAAAGACTCGATCATGACCTCCTCATCTAACACTTTTCCATAAAATCAAATTCCCTCTAAAGTCAAAAACCTAAAAATTTCCGTCCAATCAAAAACTTTTCATAATTTCTAAAATTCTACTCGGATTTTCTTTCAAAATTCTTTCCTCCCAACGAGCTTTGGATTTTATTCCAAGTATCCAATCGAACAATTGTTTCCTTAGTCAATTATCTTTTGGGGGGATTTCGAATTTTATTCAAAATTGAAGATTTGGTCACCACTTCCTTATCTACCACTTTACATAAAAGTTGAAATTCCCCCTAAAGTCAATGACTTAAAGACTCTTATTCAATCAAACACCTTCCACAACCTCTAAGGCTCTACTTAAGTTCGAAAGTTTCTCCTTTTTAGAAGTTACTCTTTAATCACATGTTTTATTGCGGATTTAA